CTCACCCTGCGATTTTCCCTTGAGGCTTCTTGGGTGTGGAAAATACGTGCCATCTCATGTATTGGTAGGATTGCCTTACAAAGACCTTTGGCATTGACCAGATTCGCGATAGCAAAACTATGCAGCCTCACAACAGTCGATCCTACCTTGAGTTTATCAAGATGTCCTGACAACAACCAAATCCTTATTTACAGGGAAACTTTTTTTTTTTACTTTTACATCTCGTCCTGTAACGCCTTGAATTCATTCCCGGTTTGGCGATAGGACTATAGATAACAAAAAAGGTACGTACATGTTTGTGTAAGGGTTTGGGTATTGCTGGGTAGAGGAGGGGAGGTCAAAGGTGAGTCTGTGGGTTGGGCTGGGACGTAGAAAACGTGGCAGGTGGTCATGAAAAAGTCATATGCAGTATTAACAGGGTATTTTGACAGTTTTGCGTTTGTGCTTCACAGCATATGTGATTTACAGTACAGTATGTGTGACTGTATTCTTTGTTACAAGCTGTGCCTGGAATACCTAACATTTCCATATTACAAACTAATTATGAATTTTTTGCTTGGCGTAACCTTCATGCTTTCTGACCTGTATTGATCAAAACACTTTAAATAAACTTATGATCACGTAGTAGCATAAAATAAATGTGAAAATACAAACAAAATCAGATAAATGCCAAACACGTACGTGTATTTGTAAGGTAAAGACGTACAGCTTTCCATAATCCTTTTAATCATTGGCGCACTCATTAGTCACCGTGTATCTGATTTCTCTGGACCCTGAATATCCTCTCGTACAATTATGTTATTTTACCATTAGTCAGATCCTAAATTCTATTTCAAGGTTAGGTCCTGAAACAAGAAGTTCTAGAGCTAAATCATACTAAACATCTTGCCAGCAAACACGTGTATTCGTTAACGCAGGTATACAACAATTTTATAGCTTACATAGATATTATATAAACAATCGAAATAACCTAATGCAATCTTGAATTAGTTACTTTTTGGCTTTCGTTGGTTTTATGCTAATTTCGTCCCGTGTGAGAACTCACCCAAACGAACGCGATTTGCACAATTGGCAACGAACAGACACCACAGAGAACCGTGGATTTAGGTTTCTACCATTCGCCCGGATTTGCTAATCTTACTGGGAATGTCTTATTGTGTTGTTGTTTTTTTACGAGCGAGATCTTGTTGATTTTAGGCACTTTGTCATTGCGGTAGATTTAATTATACGTTGAAGGACGTGCGTAAGAGCGTGTTACTGTGCTTTTCTTCTGAATAAGTGTTGGGTAATGTTGCTGGTGCAAGCGTAATGTCTCAACGACACTTTGATGCACATTAATTTCCACAAAGATAATGAGGTGAAATGAACCTTTTATGAACGATTACTTGATTCTGGGCAAATTATCGCGCCATTAGTGACATATCATTGGCACTTGAGGGAATTTGTCTAGTTGACAATACGTGACGTCACAGTTCGAGGAAGGCCTTCGTCCCGCGCGCGAGTTGTGACGCCGCCGCAGCCGACGCGACGGCGGGCGCTTCGTATGAATGATGTCTGTAGCGCTTATAACAATCGTGGAACTAACGTACTATAATAATTTCGTCGTTCTTTATTACATTAAGAAGAATCAGCAAAGCCCAGTACCCCACTACAGAAATCAAATGAAAGTAAAATAAGTAGATTATGAAAAACAATAAAAATATCGAACCAGCGATCTAATGTCACACACGAGGGGCTGACGTCGCTGGCCGATAATCCGGTCACCTGAAGAGGGTTTTTTTCTTTCGACAACTCTATCTGCAAGAGTTTCTAGTATCGGTGTTTGTTATTACTTGCGTAAGTAATTTTGTAATCAAAATAACGCTGAGAGCTCTATGATCGAAATAATTCCTAATAATTATTCATGTAATCAATGATGTGGTTTGTTGATTTGGATATTTAGTTAAAAGAGTTTCGTAAACTTTATAGAGAGGAATATGGTTTGAATAATGACGATTTAAACCATGGTTGAGACATCTAAACTTGATTATAGATATATACGAGGATGTTTTATCTGAATATACTAGCATTAAAGTCCTAAATGGTCGGAGATGAAATCCTTCCCAAATTTCACTGTTGTTGACAGTCTCGCTCCATTGCGAATGATTTCCACAACAGCATTATATCTATCTATCTATATCTATTTATCTATCTATCTATATGTATGTATGTATGTATAAACAATCCAAAACAAAATTGCACGGATACACGCGAAATGAGGACATCACATCATACCCACACACGGATCTTTCCCCACCCTCCCCTCCCCTCCCTTTCCCCTGTCACAGCACCCCTCTTCTCGCAACGGAAGCTCATCATGGCGTTCATTCTTTTCATTTCACTCTCGCCAACGAGCTCTTGCCGTTGTATCATTACGCGTATCCGCAGCCGCCTCCTGCTGTCCACGCCTCGCACCGACGACTCTCGAATGCCAACAAGGTCCTTATGAGTTATTTGGACCTCTCTTGCCAACATGTGTTTGCGTCGACCTCGTCGACGCAAACACGTCATACTCGTTTTACACCCTTCCTCTGGCGATTTCTGATATGCTTGTGTGCGTATTTGATTTCTTCTCGAATCTCTCTTTCCTTTGTGTAATTCTAGCTCGATTTCATGATATGGGGGAAAAGGGAGGACAAAGAATGATGATATGGATGGCTTGGAAGGAAGAAGCGGGAGAGTGTGTCCGTTATTTTGCTTTATGCTTGAAATTAAATTACTAATGCTGAGTTCATTAGTTCAGGAGAAGCGTGTTTAAAAAAAATACATTGCTCACTTATATAACCAAACTGTAAGTTCACAGAGAAAATGAGGATTTCGTGAGGGTAAAATATTAATTTAAAGGCGGCAATTATTATTGTCCTGTATGTTTGTTATTCTCCTTTAATGCCTTGCTTAAAACTCTTCTGCAGTTTCTTCATCTCACCTGTCATTTAATGTTTGTACAGCTATTCCATTTGGTTCCTGTTACCATCTCAGTTCAGTGTATCAAGGACTTGACATCTATATCAGACGGACGAACTCCTGCCGTCATAATGACATCTGAAATGGCCATGTGTTCGAGGGAGACAGTCAGCTCTTCCAACGAAACGAAGGTCAGTTGGCTTCCTGGTGGTCGATGCTCCACGTGGGACTTCCCGCTCATCGGCACCCCGGCGCTCAGAGTCGATTCCCTGTTCAGTCGACTAAGGATTTTCTGATAATAGCTCTCTCGCTTCTGCTCTCGGGCTCCCTTTCCCATCGTCCCTCTCTTTCTGTTCTTCTATGTGGCCGCGTTAAGCATGTGTATGTGTGTGACTGTTTGACCTCCTTTCCCGCCCCGTATAAGCAGACATGCGCTAATAAGATCTAGTGAACTCATGAATTTATGAGCGCTTTTTTGTAGCAAGTTATTGTGTTACTTTTTCTATTCTGACAAGTAAAAAAACTAACAAAATATTCACGGACATATTTCAGCAATATGCTTTTAAAGTCAAAGCACTCACGGATCAATATGAAAATTCCCTAACTGACCACACGAAGCGCTGTGTCGACTCCCTCCTTAAGCACAAAGCTTAGTTGTCTTTACGTTTTATTTCCACTTAATGAACGACGGTCCGTGTCCGCGACTGGCGATGTACTTGTCTGCCACTTATGCTCTGGCGGGTTAGAGAATTATATCCTTTTAGTATTCAAATATTCTTCTGAAACATGCAAGAGAGACTCTTATCTCTACAGAGGGTTGTGGCTGGCAGATCTCATCATATTTTTTCTTAGTATTTCATAACATAGAGTGACATGTGACCCTCTCACGGCTCTGAAGTATCCCTCGGTCGATTAAACAAATACACATTTATTTGTGATCGTAGATCTCAGCATAATCAATCTTGGCCGTAAATAATTCGTTCATTTTCCTTTAGTATAGATAGAGTGCACTTCTAATATGAAAATGCTTGTAATACTTAATGGTTTTATTTATTTTCTTAATAGTAACTCTGGATGGGCGTACGTTTGGCAGGAGCGCGGAGAGGGGATGGAAGGTCTCGGGCGATCAAACAGAACTCTGACGTCGTGGTGACTTGTTATGCTGCCAGTTGGCCGCGTTGAAGACACACAAAGAAAGACACACATGGAAAAAAATAAAATAAGCACAATGCTATCAAACAAGAGCACAAGAGAATACACGGGCTGCGAGTGTACAGAAATCAAAGAATCCACACCGCCTGTAGAATACAGACAACATTTAACTCACATTAAATTGCATATATTTAGGATTTAGATTATAGATCGTCAGATGTTAAAGAGAGAGAATTTCATACGTATACTCATACAATCGCAATAGACACATATTATCTATGCACAAACTTTCGCATAAATTTACACACACACAGACACACACACACACACACACGCACACACCACGCGCCAACATAATCATTTACACGTGATATACGATATTATCCCCAAAGCAGACAGGGCAAATCCTCTGGTAACGCAATAACTCAAGGACTAGATCTCTGCAATAGTGTTGTCACGCTTCTGAGAACAGCGAGGACTGTAAACACTTGGCGACCCGGGTTGAACAGCGACAGCTTTTCACCCGCGCCAAAGGCAATTTATGTGTGTGTGTTATATATACAATACCATACACACAGACACACACACCCTAGCGATACATACACACCCACACACATATATGTGTGTGTGTGTGTGTGTGTGTGTGTGTATATATATATGTATGTGTGTATGTATATATGTATATACATATATCGATAGATGTGTTTATGTATATATATATATACATATATATATGTATATGTATATATATATATATATATGCAT